CCTCCCCCCTTCCCCACCCATCACCCCTCTTCCCCACCCTCCTTACGTATGCCCAACAGCAACCGTCTCCGCCGCCAATTTAAAGCACGTAAAAGTTGGCAAATCGCTTGCGCACCCCACAGGTCCATAGACATAAAAATTCAGATCCGTACAAGTCGTCTTTTGTCCGCCATCCCAAGTCTTTAACAAAATCCTCGCCTTGTTCGGATCGATCGGGTTTCTTCGTATCCGTATCGAGTGGTTCTCCCAGTTCGATATGTTGCTTTGGTTGTCAGGAAGATATGGAGGGTGGGGGGGAATGGGGGAAGAGGGGGAGAGGTACTCATAGTATAGTTGTTCCCAGATTACGCTGTAGTAGAAGTGTCCGTCACCGCCACAGTCGGTGGCGGTATACATTCTGCGTCCATAGATTAGCGGAGGGATCTGACGCGGATGTTTTCGAGAACCAAAGCTACATCCTAGGAGAAGAAGAACATACGAGATATCGAACTGCGACGGTGCCCTCTTTCTTTCCCCCCCAAAGTCCGGAAGAATATCAGTTCTTGCATCCTGAGCGGCCAGCCACATCGCAAATTTGCTATCCCCCTTGAAAGATATCCGTTTCCCGTCGTCATGTGTGAAATCATGTGGCATTGGTCCGGTAGGATCAACGCCGCTTTCGAGCGCTTTTTGGTATGCTTTTTCGGCTTCTTCGGAACTGAAGATGGACGAGATGGGGTAAGATATTGTCTGGCTCCGGTGGATGATGCTGGCCAGTGCGGAGCTGGATAGGAGGGTGAGAGTTAGGATGATGGTGTTGAAATGCATATTCGGGGTGGTTTGTGGCGGAAAGTAGGTGAGGTAAGAGTTTTATGTTGCGATGAAATTTTTGACGACGGAGAGCTGATGATGTATACGAATACTGAGGATTAGGCTATCTATACATTTATTTATCCCATCGCATTGTGCCCCTTGAATGTGCTCAAACGCGAGCGCGGTTTTAGGAGTTCGCCGACAGGACGTAGAGTACTCTATCAAGCTGTGTTAGTCTTGGTGTAATGTTGGGAACATTGATCTAGAGTATATACTAAACCTTTATCGGACGACATGATGCCGCTCAAGCCCAACGGCCAATTTTATCACCGCGCAAACTGCAACGAATGTACCATATTACATTACACTGTCCGTAAGATCACATTTTTGTTGCTCACCTAAGTGGCTCTCCCCTTCGTTCCATCGGTTGTGCGATTTCCATCCTTTTTGGGACAAATCTTGGCAGGCGACGGTGGTGATGGTATTGGTAGTTGTTGAACGTGCAGACTTTTTGGCAAACTTAGTACAGTGTTAATCCAGGTGTTGACTTGTCTGGTGTAGACACGGTTTGATTTCTGCCATTGGTTCGTTGTGGTGGTTCATATGATCATGACTGCTCTATCGCGACGAGAAAATTGGCCGTTGGCCGGTCCCCAGTCATGCCAGTTCAATTGACACAGTGGTTCGGAGGGGTGGGAGCGGTCCGTCTTATCACCATTGAACATATTGCAATATCAATGAGAACGGGGGTGAAGGCCAGGGCCAGGGAGTACAATTGAAACAAGCCTTTGCGACGGGCAGGTGCCCATATGAAAGAATGCAGGGATCCTGGACTTAGCGTGACGTGTAGATTTGATAACAAATCCAGAGTAAACTGTACGGGCGGCGGGTTGTGTGAGTTCAACCGCGTTGCGCTGAAATAATTAGGCGCGTGTTATGTAACCGTATGCCCCTAGCCTTTGGTCGCAACGCGCTTCGCATAGTTCCCTGTCCGGCGCTTACACAAGCCTCGGTTTATTTCGTCACTGTGCGACCTCGGGTGAGGAGTAGTTAGGACGGCGAAGCTGTGGATTTCCGTCAAAAATGGTCATGGCACGACCCCCCATGGATAAGGGCTGAAAACCATCCGCTGAAAAGCAGTCGTATATCGGTAGGACCGTAATTTATGAACACAAGTTTGGACCCGTTGCTAACACTACTCGTGTGATGATGGTTGTTGGATCGACCTCGGGTGTTGGCTGTGTTGTATGACGATTTCAGGATCAAAGGGAGTTGTGAGAATGATATCAGATAGAGATGGATAAGATAGATTAGATTAGATAGGAAGAGCGGCTAGGACGGATTTGGAAGCGAAGGCTTAGCCTTGGGAGTTAAGATCGCGCGATCTGACTTTGTAGGAATCTATCTCTCTTCTCACTCTTAGGATAATTATCCAGGCTGCTGGCTGCTGGGTCCACATCGCGTCGCGTTGAAGGGTGGTGTGCGCTGGCTTGGCATGGCCATCCATCATCGTCTCATCGTCACTGACGTCATGACCTCCTTCACTTGCCCTTGCTTCCCACAGCTGCCACCCCCCGTAACCTTCCATCGCTCATACCCCTTGCTTTGATCCTCTCTTATCCCTCTATCTACTCTCCTCTCGCTACCGTCCCCCATCCCGAACGCCTTGTGTCTGACACGCGTTGCATCATTCCTTCAACATGGCTTCTGAGGCTCCACCGGTCGATCTTGATACGGACGATGCCTTTTACGCCCTCCACCATTTTATTTTCCAGGGCGACAGCATGAAGCGGGGAACAAGCCTATCGAATCCGTGCCGCGATATTGACAACTACTTGGACTTCTTGGAGAATATCCCCGAGCTTCAGTCTACACCTGAACCCGATACTCGCGCCAATCGAGTTCGCCTACTACTGGATGCTTTTGTCAAAATCTGTCAGCCCCACAGCGGCGAAGTCCTCGCTCTATCACTGGCGCTGCGTCCCTCCGCCGGCTCTACTGACTCCACCCTTGCCACTGTCGGAAAGCCGGAAAAGCTGATTTTAAACATTGCCGGCAACGGTCCACCACCTACCGAATTGACGGAATATCTCGGTGGCATTTGGAATAGGCTTAAGCAGATTTCAGTCCTGGAAAAGGAAGCACGAACTAAAGGCGGCCACCCCGACGCTTCAGAGCCTAATACGGGTGATTCACCGCCGGCAGTGGGGTCTGATGAAACTGCTCAGTCACAGTTGATCGGGCAGCTGTACGAAGACATTCATTTGTTTTGTTTCCGAAAATCACGATCCCGTTTGGTGGGTTTCGTGGGCCCTTGGAATACTTTCTTCCCATTCTTCCTCTCAATTTCCCAAACCACGTGTATTGGTGGAAGTGGCAAGGTTCACGATCTCTTCTCCACAGTTTGTTGCGCTCTAAACCTTATTATCAATGGGCTCTTGGAATGTACTCCGGTGTTCGTTAAAGCCCATTCAGATTTGTGGCATGCTTACTGGCAACTGGTGAAACTTGGCAAAGAAGACGACTGGTACGATGAACTCGAGTTTCTCGACGAATTTTTCGACGAGTGTGAGTAGTCCCGCTTACACGCGTGTGGTCCTGTGGGACTGCCAGGCCACTGGTCAGGCAGTTGTCGCATGGAAATGTTCTCGCTTGTTTTTGGCTGGAAGCGAATTGGCCGATCGTTTTCCTTTTTGTGGGCGTGCAACAACTGTTTGTCCCAGTGGCCCGGGGCCGGCTATCTTACTTGACGTCCATCCGTGCACATTCCTCTTCTTTCTTCTCAAGCTTGCGTGAACTAACATAATCTCTGCCAGTTCGGCTGCAATTTTCACTGAGCAAGATAATTCGTGAGGCGAAAAAGCTTAACGCCCATATCCAAACTGTTCTCAAAATGGCGTTCTCTCCTCGAATACGTCCCTGGCTTGAGTGTGAGCTAGATGTGAACTTGGTGAACTCCGGTCCCCGGCGACTCCCATTTCCAACCCAAAGCTATCTTGAAGCGTGTGTTCGAAAGATGGCCGCGACCGCCGAGGTTTCTACGGTTTACGATAAATATGCGGCCGAAAGCAAAGAAGAAATTGAAGAGCGCAAAGCTACCGATATTGAAGAAGTGCTAAGGGATTTGCCGGCTGTTCTTGGTAAAATTAGTAAGTTTGAAGATAAGCTGAAGCGAGCGACTCGCGACAACGAAAGGCTGCCCGATGATGGTGGCTCGATGAATGTCCGTCTGCAGCAAATGAAGCCTCATGCGGAGTGCACCCTCTTGGCATATCTCGATCAATCGTCTGAGTCAGGAGTCCAACAATTTAGCTACATCGCCGTTACGAAACTCAGCTGCTTCAGTTGTTGGCTCCTGTTTGAGGCTTACCGCAGACACACGAAGTGCTGCTTCATCGTTCGTGGTTGCCACTCGGACACAAGCCATCCATGGGTAATTCCGGATTTCAAAGAAACTTCTCTGGAAGCGGCATGCCGAAAGCACATCTTGGAGGATAGGATCTTCAAGTTGTTTGCGCTGCATTTAATAAAGGGGAATAGGTCCCGCAAGGGCGGTCATGGCACGGACGGTTCGGACCCTGGTCCTAGCGATCTCAAGGAGCCCGATAACTTTGACTCGTGCGAGATGAATAGCACGCCCTTTGTTAAATGGACCTGACTATTGGAGCTTCTTGTCAATGGTCTACGGCATAAAACGGCAGCGGATTATTTTTCTTGTTTCGCTTTCTAGGTTTTGCTTCTTTTTCGGGCGTAAAGGCTTCTTTTACAAATGGTTTTTTTTAGGCGGTGATGTTAGCTTTTCTGTTGCGCTTTCTGCCACCTCGCCTTGGTGCTTTCAAGTAGGGCGGATAAGTTACTGTTTGCTTGCGCCATCGGAGGATGCCTGGCGGCTTTTATGGTTTTTTTCCTGCGCAGATAGGTACCACGGAGACGAGGTGCTGGTGGGGATAGTGAGGGCACTCTGCGCGTCTTAAACTGCAAGAAAATTTGTGATCATTGTTACATGGAACCAGTGAAGGACTGTGTTTATAGTGGAGTAACAGAACTCCATAATGCTGAAGCGAAAACAAAGAAAGTGGAAAAAAGTAAGAGGTCCCGTGCCATTTGTTTTGGACCTGACCCTCTGACTCCCGGCACGCCAAGGTTACAGTAAGCGCCCGACGGATGTATAGGCAGCATAGTGGTATAGTGGGCACAGTGTCGTGGTTTCCTCAGTAGTATAGCGGTAAGTATTTCCGCCTGTCATCACCATACCACTGCGAGAGACCAGGATTCAATTCCCTGCTGGGAAGGCTTTAAACTTTTTTCTTTGTTGAATTATCTTCGGAAAGTATAATTTGATTATACGTGTGCTGAAGAACCTACTCTAGGGCGCATCGACTTACAGAAACTCGGGATTGCGAGTAGTCTGTCGGGCTCAGTGACGAGAGAGCTTAGAAGCTACTTGCACGAACTCAACTGACTTATCAGAATTTAGTTTAGTGTTCACGATCCCTCATCATGGTGCGTCACTCGATCCCCGTATTTTTTGGCTGTTAAACTTAAGAGTTCTAGAGTTGTCTGATCTTCTATATACATGGAGAATGACTTCTCTTATATACTTGTGTGTACAGTGACATGAGATCATGCTGAGGTCTATGGTGGTGAGTTGTAGACGTGATGATGCCCTATGCCCTCACAATACCTTAAGTACAACTATCAACTACATGTATGGTCGCACCGTCATAACTAGATGACATTGGCCGAACAGGATATAGTAACACTCCCCCCTCTTGCTGCAATTCATGCAGTAAGAACAAAATCAAAAATATAAATGAGCGAGCATACATACGCTGCAAATGATTTCCCTAGTATCCTCCTTACAACCCTGCGAATTTGATCAGGGAAAAAGTACCACAGTAGCCTGACGATGGCCATCCATAAAGAAGCAAAGAAATCCATTGCATCCTTCCATAAAATAACCTTAAATTGACCACTGTCGTCACTTCCAATTCGAGTGCTACTTGATGATGGACTGTAATGGCGGCCGGCCTATGGCAGGGAAACCGCCCATCCACCCAGTATATAGTCAGATCGTGCGAGTGCCCTTGCACGCCATTGATAACCTTACCTATTGAATCTACCTCATTCTCGAATCCTCGTTTGCAACCGTATCTACCCAAATACTCTTATATGAGGCCGTACACAGATGTACACCCTTACACTGTTATTGATCTTAAGTAATTGGATACGTTTCGCTCATGGGATTTCGTGAATTACCCCTTTTCGACGCGTTACCTATCATCGAGAAGTCACACAAATACACAAGATTACGTCGAGAAATCACACACCCGATCTACCTATCATCGAGAAAATCTACGAATCGAAGAGAGATTACCTCGAGATATCCTATGGGTCTCATTACCCCTTTTCTTGACGCGTCGCATCGAACTCAATGTGAAGTTGAAAGACGGAAGGATAACCGAAGACAAGATAAGACCCAAAGACGCTATAAGGCCCAAAGACAAATTAAGACAAGCATCTCGGTTCAGTGTTTTTAGCATCTTTGTGGTGCCGAGGCTGCTCAAGCGACTCGGGCTACCTTCAGTGTTTTGAGTATCTTTATGGTGCCGAGGCCGCTCAGGCGACTCGGGCTACCGCTACCATACGAACCGGCATTCATCTCCACCCGGGCCTTGATGGGCAGGTGGTGATGTCTGCGAAGGAGAGTCGAAGGTCGAAGGGCATGGTCGAAGGGGAAAAGTCGGAGGGCAACCGAAAGTCGAAGGACGAAGCGAAGAGTAGTTGAAGAAGGTTGGTGTGATCACCGTACCTACGATCCAGATTTCAAGCGGACGCGATCACCTTATCGTTTGCATGGAAGCGCACCTGAATCGAAAGCTCTCAAGCGCAATTCACGATTACCTTCCAATGATCTGAAGCGCACTTGGCGATTACCTTCCTACAATCTGAAGCGCACTTGAGGATTGCCTTTCTCCGAACAGAGCGGAAGCTCTGAAGCACACTTGACGATTACCTTTCTACGATTTGAGCGCAAGCTCTCAAGCGCACTTGATGATCGCCTTCCTGCGACCTGAGCGGAAGCTCCGAAGCGCACCTACGAGCATCAGCATTGCACAGAAGTGCACTTACGGAGAAGGACTACCGAGGGCACAAGCCTTGCCTGAGCTAAGCGTACTTGATTGATATTCTAAGTTTGATCTTCTCTTGAATGCTTACGAGTTAAATAATCGATGAACGATGTACGATTGATGCCGAGAACTTCGAATCGGTCAATGATTTCCGACGCGACGCCGATTCACACCTTTGAGCCTGCACGATGAAAGCTACGGTATGCCGAGGGCTTGGATATGGAGATATGGAGATATGGAGGTTACAGGGGTCAATTGGACGTTTCCTTCTTATTTTCTCCTTCTCTTCTCTTCTTATTGGATCTCGGCCCAGTACAAATGGCGACGGCACAGGTTTTACCACCTACCACTGGAGGTGGACTTTCCCCGTGTGCCGGATCCACTGAAAGGTCACCCTCGAGCGGTACCGATCGGCAGCGGAATTTATGAGGCCGTACGAGGGTGTACGAGCTTGGATTGTTTCTTCTTCTTCTCTTTATGTACGGGTATGCAGCGCAGGAGGTCTGCAGATAAACAGGGGGATGATTTAATGGCGGCCGGCCTATGGAAGGGTAACCGCCCATCCGTCCAGTATATAGTCATATCGTGCAAGTGCCGTTGCACGCCATCGATAACCTTACCTATTGAATCTACCTCATTCTCAAATCCTCGTTTGCAACAATATCTACCCAAATACTCTTATATGAGGCCGTACACGGACGTACGCCCTTACATGGACTTGCTTGCATCCAGGCTTGGTGGGACATAAGCAAGGTGTCCTGCCTTTTGTGGACTAGCTAATGTAAATCCACGACAATTTCGTGGATTTACCATAGACCCATAGCTTTTGTAAATTTGCCATGCTTGTAATGGCGGCCGTCCTATGGCAGGGTAACCGCCTATCCGTCCAAGTATATAGTCAGCTCATGCGAGAACTCTTGCACGCCATCGATAACCTTATATATTGAATCTACCTCATTCTCGAATCCACGTTTGCAACAGTATCTACCTTTATACTCTTATATGAGGCCATATACCGACGTACGTCCTTACACTGTTATCAATCTTTAGTAATTGGATACATTTCACTCACGGGATTTCGTGAATTACCCCTTTTCGACGTGTTACCTATCATCGAGAAATTATACGAATCGACGAGGGATTACCTCGAGATATCCTACGGGTCTCATTACCCCTTTTTCTTGACGTGTCGCATCAAACTCAACGCGAAGTCGAATAGACGGAAGGAAGCCAAAGACGAAATAAAACCCAAAGACGAAGTAAGACGAGTATCTCGGTTCAGTGTTTTGAGCATCTTTATGGTCGCCAGGCTGCTCAGGCGGCTCGGGCTACTGCTACTTTATGGTCCTGAGGCTGCTCAGGCGGCTTGGGCTACTGCTACTTTATGGTCCCGAGGCCGCTCAGGCGACTCGGACTACCATACGAACTGGCATTCATCTTCACCTGGGCCTTGATGGGCAGGTAGTGATGTCAGTGAAGGAGAGTCCAAGGTCGAAAGGCAAAAGTCGAAGGGCAACTGAAAGTCGAAGGGTGAAGCGAAGAGTAGTTGATGACGGTTGGTGGGATGATGATCCGGATTTCAAGCGGACGCGATCACGATCATCGTTTGCACGGAAGTGCATGTACCGTATCGAAGTGTACCTGAATCGGAATACGAAGCACACTTGATGATCACCTTACTACGATCTGAAGTGCACTTGACGATTGTATTCCTCCAAACTGAGCAGAAGCTCCGAAACGCACTTGACGATTACCTTTCTACCATATGAGCGGAAGCTCTCAAGCACACTTGACGATTGCCTTCCTCTGAACTGAGCGGAAGCTCAGAAGCGCACCTATGACGTGTTAGCATCCATGAACGAAGCTGCAAGCTCACTTACGGAATGTCAGCACTGCACGGAAGTGCACCTACCAAGAACGATTACACCAGCATGGAAGTGAACTTACGGAGAAAGACTACCGAGGGCACAAGCTTTGCGAGAGCTAAGTCCACTTGATTGATTACATTGTAAGTTCGATCTTCTCTTGGATGCTCATGAGTTAGATAATTGGCGAACCACATGAGATTGATATATTACGAGACCTTCGAATTGGTCAATGACTTCCGATGCGACGCCGATTTACACCTCCAAGTCTGCACGATGAAAGCTACAGTATGCCAAGGGCTTGGATATGGATATGGAGCTTGGTGCTGCCGAGCCACTTTGGAGATATGGAGATCTCGAGGTTATAGGGGTCAATTGCAAGTTTCCTTCTCTTCTCTTCTTATTGGATCTCGGCCCGGTACAAATGGCGTTGGCATGGGTTTTACCACCTACGACTGGAGGTGGACTTTCCCCGTGTGCAGGATCCGCTGAAAGGTCACCCTCGATTGGTACCGATCGGTTGCGTGATTTACGAGGGCGTATGAGGGCGTACGAGCTTGGATTTGTTTCTTGGATTCTTTGTTCTCTTCATGTACTGGTATGCAGCCCAGGAGGTCTGCAGATAAAGAGGGGGATGATGTAATGGCGGCCGGCCTATGGCAGGGTAACCGCCCATCCGCCTAAGTATATAGTCAGTTCGTGCGAGTACTCTTGCACGCCATCGAAAACCTTACCTATTGAATCTACCTCATTCTCGAATCCACGTTTGCAACCGTATCTACCTTTATACTCTTATATGAGGCCGTACACGGAAGTACGTCCTTACAATGCTTATCTTTGGCCAGGGCTTTGTTCAATATGTTTGCCACTTTTTAGTCCGTATAGATGTAGGAGTAGTTTACTATTCGGTGTTTGTGCAGATCTCGACTGTTATGATAGCCTACATCGATGAGTGTAAGGACGTACGTCCTCGTATGTGTGTATACGTGAAGATACGGTTGCAAATGGGAAACAAGCAATATAGATCAATTGTACGGTATGAAGGTAAGATAATCACTATCGTGCCAAAAGCACTTCGCGAGGTGATAATATAAGAAGGGCGGTTATCCGGCCTTGGCAACCAAGTGTGCTTGAGAGCCAAGTGCACTTGGAAGGGTCAAGTGCACCTGGCACCGCCATTACATCATCCCCCTCTTTATCAGCAGACCTTCTGGACTGCAGCATATATACATAAAGAAAGACAAGATAAGATACGTACACCTTCGTAGGTCTGCATAAGTCCCACGACCGATCGGT